AATGTTTGCATACAAACAGACGCCAGTGTAGCTCCTGTAAATGAGTACGTGGTTTGGCAGTGCTAGAATTGGTAAATGCTAGCTGTGAGCGCCGAAATGGCAGCACCGGCTATAGTAAATGCTCCCCAGGGAGTTGGTAAAGGTATTGGCTGGTTGCAAAGGCCCTATAACCACGGATAATAATTTGTGAACCGCTTTGAGACGACCTACGATCATAGGTTGTTATTTATTAGTAGTATTAATATTATACCAGGAAACTGTTACCCGGTCTTATATTCGCCCTTCACCTTGTGTTAAGTTTGTTTGTATTTTTAAGGACGTGCCAGGTTTTGGTGGTGTAGGAAAGCCGGAGTTCCCGGAGAAAAAACACCGACCTACGGTCAACACCTTGCGACTACCCCACGTAGGTCTCGAACCCGCGACCCAGTGGTGGAGGGCTAGTGGTAGCAGAATGTCAGACGCCTTAACCACTTGGTCACCGCGGTTCCGTTTTCGTCATTCATGTGTTATTTTGCTGTGGTAAATTCGCCCTTTTTGGGGAGAGAATTTCTCAGTAAACAGTATAACCTTGTTGATAGTGCTGCTTGTAATTGCGGACATTTTTAGACTTCAAACTATTATTTTACAAATGAAAAATGTATCCTGTATAATTCCAATACTTTGAATGTTCCAATTTTACTTGGAAATTCACAGCTTACCGCAGACCTTACATCCTCGATATCCCAGGGGCTACGTTCATTTTCGCTCTCCGCACCCCTGGAGCAAAATTGCAATCAAACGGCCTGCTATTTAATTGGTCTCAGGCGGAATAATACTTACCAATCTCAAGGCCGATACCAATCAATCAATCAATCAATAAAATATTTTATTATAGTGTCACATGTTAATATACATAAATCAAATAAGTCAATATATTACAAATACAGGTAAAACTATATTAACATCCAGCCATTACTGGCTTATGAGACACTTAAAAAATAATACACACTTTGAAATTAGTCGTGCAGTATACCTGTTCTTTGACGAGTACATGTGAGCTTTACATCCGAGCTCCAAGCCGGTAACTTGTACCGTTACGCTGTCGGTGGATTATTTTTTTGATGTACATCCAGGGATCAAATTAGTCATCTTTTCTCATCCACAAGGTGGCGCACAATGAGCGTTTGATTTTGTCATGACATATTACAGGGGTTCAGAGAGCCTGGTGAGCGTAACCCCTGGAGTGTCGACGATATGGACATAATACAAATATATTTAGATAAGTACAAAAAATCGTCCTATCCAGCAATATTTTTTAAGTCAAATTGTATCTTATTTAATTATACGATTTTTTCACTGTTACCGTGCTTTTGTAGAAGTATGTTGGTTGCGTTAATGAGTTGTTATAACTTGTACCTAATACCTTTGGGTATGTTTGACAATAAATACGTTTAAACTAAACCCCATCGCAAAACGATATTTTCACGCAAATGGTTCTAACAGCTATCAATTGGTAAGGTGTTCAGAGTACTTTTACATGTTTTAGGGGTTTAGATAGACTTTCGGTAAAAATGCCACTCACAATGCTTATACATGTATATATCATCATTGGGGTGGCATTATTTCCGAAAGTCGATAGCAAATTCCCAGGTCCCTGTGGTCTATACAATGCCGTCAGGGGATGTTCGCCCTACATTAAAAAACAAACAAAAAAAAACAAAAAAAACAGAAATCGTGCACCTCTTATTGAAAGCCAGAAAAGCAATATCTTTATGATATTTTGTTGTCCTTCTATGCCAGAAAAGAATTATTATCACACAACAAATTACCTTAAGAAACGTTCTGTAAGAATGAAACGACGAGAGATGGGACAGATATTTAATTTAAAAAAATATGAATTGCATTGATGCAGTAACTGTGTTAAAAGATCACATAGTTCATACATGTTCAATAGGCACTGTTGACTGCAATTTATATCTTCTAATAGATGCATTTGTGTCACAGTGACGCTTGTATTAATGAGTAGGATGTCTAAAGTAAAACACGAGACTGAATTGACACCTTCGTTATGGGGCTTTTTAGCTGTAGCGAATCTGTGAAACCACAACAATGCCTCATCATTTTCCCAACCTCATTTACTGCATTTCCATTAAACAGATTTCAAAGGAAAGATTACAAATCGTTATGACATCCTAGAATAGTCAACCGTTATCGATATTCCCTGTAGTTTTCTAAAAAATGTCGCCTACAGCTCTCTCTCATATGAAACATGCAGAAGTACGATCCAAGGGAAACATTCATATTACTAAAAATAAAATTAATAAATTTGACCTCTGATTACAATACATTCGGCTAACCTCGACTGATTCCGGTATCCTGCGGAATCTGCCGAGTTTTGACGAGCCCTCTGATAACAGCCAACAGAGAAAATCTATCGTTGATTTGAATTTAATCTACTATCGTATTTTACGAACTGTTAGGGTAGAAGGATTATAGGAAATCGTCTTAGGACGTACAAACGGAATCATTTGGAAATTCCTATAAAAGATCGACACGACAGCTCATGTTGGTCTTACTAAACAATGTAGTACATGTTCGTAACGTCAAAGGGACGTGGCACAGATGTTTGTTATGTATCAGTACACATACATGTATATATACGGACTTTGGGGTTCGGGATCTGTGCCACGCCCCTGTACGTAATATCAAATACTCGAGAGTTTAAAAAAACCCAACCTCAAATGAGTGCATTCTTCCAGAGACGTATATATTGTATTGTACTGGGTTTGCGATGTGAGAGGGTTATTAAGAGATGAATCGAAACAACTCCACTCTTGAACATTTCATTTTAAAACACATAAACCAGATACGGATAAAGAATACCATAATACACAAAAACGGTTAATTCCGGATATTATAATATAATATATATACGTCTCTGTATGCACTCATTTGAGTTTTTTTTCAAACTCTCTCGATATTTAGGTATTCCCAGTTGTTTATTGTCCATGTAATATGTAAATAGTTTTCAAGTTTTATTCGAACTTTAGGCCATTGGCCCATCAGTATACAATACATATTATACACAAATAATGGACAATGTACAGATAATGAAGAGAATCATATTCCAATACATTACCCTTAATTTGTTTGCCTCATAGATGAATTTCCCTAGTATACACAATTCTTTAATATTATGGACACTCAATAACTGAACGGCTTTAAACACAGATGGTTTTTTCCATTAATAGCTTTTGATAAAACGTGATCTGAGATTTTGGAATTTAGAACAGACTAATAAAAAATGAAATTCGTCCTCTACTTCAGAGGGGAGTTACACTGTTTACAATATCTACGTTCTCTAGGTATATTTGTATACCTTCCAACTTCTACAGCCAAAGAATGTGTAGGTGTACGGTTCGAGTTAAACAAATGCGATATTTCATTGGTATATATTTTGTGAGGTAAAATTGTAATGATTCTCCGAAATCAATAATATTTTTATACAATAAACATTTTGGAGAGATTTCCATTGAGGCCCTAAGGGATTGTATGCCTTGATCAATAATTCTTAGTTTTATCAAACACATTTTGCTGAGAAATACATGGATTTAACCAAACATCATTAAGACCTAGATTATTCAATTCATCTCCTACTGCTTTAGCCCAGTTGAAATCACATCATCCTGAACATTGTAATATAAATACGTCTCTGATTCTTCTATCCTCTAATGACCCGTCACGACATCTAAAAACAAGACGCAGAACTCACGACCGCACCTACGTCAGTATATGTAGCTTGGCGCCACACGCGATACCCGACAGCATCTACGTACTTCAAGTACACGTCTCGCTTTAAACATGAACAACTCAGTTGTCTCTATAAATAAACAATTTACACCTAAGAAAACATACTCAACTTTACCCCCTGGTACTGTTTTGTTCACAGGTGTTCCCAAGTTTTCACAATAAAAAAAATCGACCCAGATAATGATCTCGACATTATGGATTTTTATTAATTATAAAAAAAAGAGTGTTTTCGACCCAGATATCATATGACTACAAACTACTTCTCATTTTATTTGATATTTATAAGATATAACAAAAAAAAAGATATCAAAGACAAAAAAAATATAAGGTTAGTTTATTTAATCAATTATGTTTTTTAACGATAAAGATTTTTGGTTTTAAGAGGACAAAACTGTTCAATGTTTAAAAGGGGATCTTCCCTGAACACCAACTCTGCTTAAAATCACATGTTTAGATAGGTGGTCAGTTGTGATGATAGTGAGTTATAGTCTATAGCAGAAATGGTGTACAGGTAAATTCGGCTTATTCTCGTTTCCCCCACCTTTTAAAATAACATGGGGAGAAGAATGTTGTTAGAAGGATTAAAGTCTGTTTCTAAGTAGTATGGGCAGTATTTACCTGTGTTTACCTGTGTTTACCTGTGTTTTTACCTGTGGTTATTGTAACATTTAATAAGATGCCTACTTTACCTTGTACAAAATGTATGAATGTAATGTGTGATTAAGAGTGTGGTGTTTAACAGTTAATTAATCAGTTAATCAATCAAAATTCCTAGATGTTATAGGTATCTTATGACTATCATAAAAATCATTGAACATCTATAATTATCCAAGCTATCATATCCATCCAGGTGAGCTAAAAGTGATCACGGCCTAATCAAGGATCCATGGGTCTGTGAAATAAAAGATGAATTGTATCGTTTAGGCTTAGGATGACTTCCGGTTGAACAAGGTGGACACACATTTTTTCGCTCCGGCGATGGACTGGTATATCAACTCTACACAACATGGAGCAACAGTATTTTCTGGTCGTAGGATACAACATAAACATGTGACGAAGGTTTGTGTGTTTATCTTTCGGAAAAATAGACTTTTATAGTATATTTCTTTGTGCGCGCATTACGCTACACACGTGTACCGAGTAACGTACGAGTACCGCTCACGAAGTCCACGCGTCGCTGTTACCTGGGGCGTGTACCTAGAACTATGAACATGTCTGATAACTCCACTTCAGAGATACTTACCCAGACTAGAGAGGTTTTGTCTGCAGGCGAGAATAGTCAACTCAACCATATTATATCGTTGATACAAAAACTTGATGTGAGACTTCAACATTTAGAGCCAATTGATAACAAATTAGACCTCGTACAGAAATCACTCGACTCGCTCTCATTAAAAGTGAATTCACTGGAATCTGAAATAACTGTGTTAAAGGCCAAACATGTCGAACTGGAGACAAGCTGTACTACTATTAGTGCCATGTATGATCAAGTTAAAACTGTGTCGGAAAAAAATAAACAGGAACTCCAAAAAGTGAAAAAATCCGCAAATAAACCTGCGAACAATGAGAAAGTAACATATCTTGAAAAATCCATTCATGAACTGATGGTTGATAAAGATGAACTCACTAAGAGCGTAACCGAGCTCAAATGGAGATCAATGAAGGACAATCTCGTGTTTAGTGGACTTTACGAGGAACCTAACGAAAACACTGAAGCCAAACTTCGTAGTTTTTTACACGAGCAACTCGGAATTGACAAAGTTGAGTTAGGCAACACTCATCGATTTGGTAAGCATGTGCGAGGCAGGCCTCGCCCGATTGTCGCGAGATTCCTTTATAACCATGACAGAGCTAATGTCCTGAATAATGCCCGTCATCTTAAAGGTACACAGTACTATATTAATGAACAATTTCCCACTGAGATTGAGGAAAAACGACGTAAACTTTATCCCAAGATGAAGGAACTTCGACAGCAAGGGAAAAGGGTAAAATTAGTCCGTGACCGTCTCATAGTCAATGGTAAACTCTATACAGACACTACCGTTAGCACACTGGGCAGTGACGTCAGTCATAGTCGAACGTATAGTGACGTCACTAGGACATCCGCCCACGCCTCGGCAACGTCATCTTATCGGACCAATCGACAGGCTCCGACAACGTCATCTGGACCGCCCAATGGGCAGC